GTTCAGGTATTTTGGACACTAAAGAATACTGTTCAGTAGTCTCTGCACTTATCTTAGAGATCATTTGACAATAAAAATTGATATAAAATATAATGAGTATGCTACAAAGAATTCAAGAATAAAAGTGATATGAAATCAAAGAAAGGGGTGGGGGCAAATGGAAAAGACGCTCCTGAAATCATGTGCTGTTTCATAGTTATCTGATAGGTACCCTCAATGAAGCATCTTTTATATGAAGAATGAAATAAAAACAGCAATATCACAAAACCAGGGTAAGAAACTTAGAATTCATCCTAATGAAACCCACATATACAATGTTAATTATCTTTAAATGTCCTCACATTTCCAGCCCCTGTTCTACCAATTGCAGGTAAGTATCTTACTTCCTTAGGTAATCATTTCATGATCTACATAAATATAACTGATCGAGCTTATAAGTCTGTGCTCAAAATGTTTTCACTTAGAATAAAAGCAGCAAAAATATCTTGAATTGCATATCTAAATTTATCTACATCTTCCAAGACTATATATGCCACTATTGTTGCTTTGGGATCAGAGTCTTTGACCCTTAAATACAATAAAGATCTGAAATAAGATCTCTGGTTAAAAACAATTTTAGCACATTTGATTACCTCCTTGTCCAATTCCCAAAGGAATAAAAATAGAGAAACACTATGAGTGCTGGAAACCAGGAATGGATACCAGCCACACAAAAACACAAAATAATTTCTCCAACAAGACTGAGAGGAAGCTGGACAACTACCTGCTGTGGAAAAGTGCAGTGAGAGAGAAAGCAGAAGGGAGGAACTTTAGTCTGGACTTCAGAAAATGTATTAGGTGCCAGAGCCTAAAGACAGCAAGAATTTCAGGATGAGTTCACACTCACCTAAGACTTTACACTGAAGCTGGCTCCAAATCACAGGGATTATTCAGTTAGAGATGGAGGAACATTCACAACTTTAGCTACTTCTGGGCTACCAAATATATAAAGGAAATTTGGCCAGTTTCTTAAAAGACATATCAAATACTACAGTTCTCTCTCAGGGTTATTTCACATTATTGTTTCATAACAATTGGAATGGAATATAGCAAACTCAAGTTCCTTCTGTCAGAATATACCTAGAATTTCCCCTCCTCCTTGCATTTGGACTTGCAAAGACCTGTTCTAAGGCTCACAGCATCTTTGACAGAATTCATATTATTAACCCTAACCAGAACCCTATCAGAGCCCCTAACATCAGAGAAAAATCATCTGACCCCATCAGAGAAAAATCATTAGACTTTCTGTGGAATAAGGACTAATATCATCCTGTGAAATGATATTAACTACAAAATACAGAGAAAACATTAGAATATTTCTTAGTTTTTACTAAGATTCCAGAATATAGTACACTGAAAAGGAAAGCTAGAGATTAGATAAACTTACTTTACATATACTTATTTTTACAGTTGTCCTGGCTATGATGTTTGCCTCCCCTACTAAACTATGACCTTCAATAGGTAGAAACTATTATTTAATTCAGCTCTGAATTCACAATACTTGACATCTGAGATAGCAAAGTATTGGAATACAGTAAAGGTTTACTTAATGAATGAGCAAAGTCACAAATTGAGGTGATTCTATCAGAGCTTGCAATCTTCTCTTTTTAAAAATATTTTTGATGTTGATGGACCTTTATTTTATTCATTCATTTAAATGAGGTGCTGAGAATCAAACCCAGTGCCTGACACATGCTAGGCAAGCACTCTACTGCCGCAGCGGCAATCTACCACTGAGCCACAAACCCAACCTCAGAGCTTGCATTCTTAATATAATTATAATAGTTTTTCAAATGCCAAATGTCTTCTTTGATTTAAGGAGAGCAACTAAGAACTGAGCAGGGAGGAAGAGCACGAGGAAAAGATTAACATTAAACAGAGGCGAGTGGTGGGAGGGAAAGGGAGAGAGAAGGGAAATTGCATAGAAACAAAAGGAAACCCTCAACGTTATATGAAATCACATGTAAGAGGTTGTGAGGGGAAAGGGGGGGAAAAAACAAGGGAGAGAACTGAACAACAACAGATTAGGTAGAGAGGGAAGATGGGAGGGGAGGGGGGATAGTAGGGGATAGGAAAGGCAGCAGAATACAACAATCACTAATATGGCATTATGTAAAAATGTGAATGTGTAACTGATGTGATTCTGCAATTTGTAATTGGGGTAAAAATGGGAGTTCATAACTCACTTAAATCAAATGTATGAAAGATGATATGTCATGAGCTTTGTAATGTTTTGAACAACCAATAAAAAAAAGAAAAAAATTATAATAGTTTTTATTTTTGATAGCCTTGATATTAAAATTCTTCTTTATAAATCTTACATTTCTTTATTCTAATACCTATAGTGTAAATTTTAGATTATTGGGGAGCTATAGATATTAAACTAACAGTAGTTTACTGCTTCCTAAAATTACTAAGCTTTATTAAATCCCCAAAATATTTCCTTTTAAATAAATAAATAAATAATATTCAAGTAACAACCAATTTTATTGATACCATGTGGTTAATACAACAAAACCTTCACAGAAACAGCATACAAGTGGTAATATAAAAACTGTTTTCCTATTTCCTACAAAAGAGCCCTATGGAATGATCTTGTAAAAACCTGTTTGCCACATATCAGAACAACCTGAACAGGGCACACTGACAGGAGAGTGCTCTTATTATTTGGAGAAAAGCACAAAGAGCAAAACTGGATTTTTAAAAGGAAGATTACTGATGTTTACTAGGGAGGCACTTTACCAGTTGCTGGCTTGTCAAAAGTCAAAATAGAAAATATTATTTAAAAAATTCAGGCAGATCATTACATATCAATAAATTTATGACTCAATTTCAGTGAAGCCTGGTTTCACATACAGAAAACTTTAATTGGGAACCATAGATTTCAAGGTCAGTGACTGCACCACAAATTTAAGAGATGTGTTTGGCCCCTGTCACTGTCTAGAAACAATTCAACACATCATTATTCCATGTCACTCCTGCTCTTCTGACAGACAGAACACTCCACTCATTTTATAGAATTGATAACCAATGGTCAGAATGATTGAAAAAGAGAAATGAGATTCAAAAGTGTTATTAAATTCCAAGAGAAGTTTCTTAAGTTTTCAGAGGCCTTATTGTTCTATAAAGTATGAGAACCTAGTGCCCTAATCTGGTGGATTTTGATCCTCACAACTACTGCGTACTCACTATTTGAGGCATTGGGCATATAAAAATTAATAAATAGTATCTTAAGAAGTTTACTGATTGGTGATGGACAGAGTTACATACTGGGGCATCTGTATTAGCAGCTAGTTATTCCTAGCCTGCAACACTTGATATGAAGAGGCAGTGGGAAACAAAAGCCAAACATTTAAAACTGTGCATATCTCAAAGGAAGCATTTACTGGTGGCTTATTTTACCATCTACATTAGTAAATTGGGATGACTTGGGAGTCCATGTTTCTTCTCATTTGTTCATGACTTTTTGGTTATATCCCCAGCATCTGTTGTTTCTGTTTTCCATCCAGCAGGTCTAATTTTGTTTGGTGATCCATGTGGTTCCTGGAAAGCTGACTCAACTCAATTCACTACTGGCTTTAATCCAGGCAAATCAGCACATTCCATGTCCCTGGCTACAATGACAGGTTTAGGGACAGGGAAGTATACAAAACTAATTAATGAGAGTGAATCTTTTGATTTTTCTGGGAACGTGGGGACAAAGATGCATGAGACCAGGAATGGATAGCAGACATCTTGGGCTAATGGAGCAACAGTCTTAAAAGGAAGCTTATGTCAAGAGAAGAACAACAAAGACAAAAAACAACCAGTCCCTTAGAAATAGGCTTTTCAGTCGGGACAAGCAATGTATTCCCTTTATTCTATCAGTTTGAGTTGGGGTTTCTGGTACATATAAATCCATAGTTCACTGCTATACCTTCTGTCCTTAAGTCCTTATTTAACATAAAAATATATCATAACCAGGTTGGTTATATAATGAAGTGGCATACCTGAAATTTACATAAAACAGAGAGCATCAATTCCTTAGTCTATGGCTCTTCCAAGCCTGGCTGGCCTCTTTGTTTTCAGTGGATACTTGGGAGCCTGCAGTACTGTTGCATCAGGCAACTCTGATACATGTCTTTCCTGACACCATTGCAATTGACTAACTCAATTAACTAACTATAGCTACAGAGAGGAGGAACTGTTTCCTATTCCTCATTTGACTTTGGAAGTAAGATGCCTTACTCAATTTTGACATATTGAGGAAAAACCATTGTGGTTTATTTAATTACACTTCAAAATATCATGTTGGCAAAAAACTTAAAACATTAAACATCTGGCAGGTATGGGGGCACATGCCTGCAATCCCAGTGGCTCTGGAGGCCGAGTCAGGAGGATTGCAAGTTCAAAGCCAGCCTCAGCAACTTAGTGAGACCCTGTCTCTAAATAAAATATTAAAAAAGGGTTGGGGATGTGACTCAGTAGTTAAGCGGTCCATACCAAAATCAAAACAAAATAAAATAAACATCTGTCCTACTTCCTTTATCATCCAAATACATACGTATACAAAAATAATTGTGTGAGTTCACTTTTTTGGCTAACTGTTTCAGTGTCTGTTACCTTTAACAGACAATACAGACTTATCTATAATAAGATTATTATAATCTTACCTATAAATATTTTAGCATGCATCTCCTTGGAATATATTCCTCTATAGAACTACAATATTATTGTATGAACTCCATAATGTCAAATATGTAGGCTACATTAAAAATTTCCCAATTGTTTCAAAAACATCTCCTATAGCCGGTTCTTTGAACTATAATCAATGTTCATGCATTCTTATTTGCTTTTTATGTCTTTTTTGGTTTCGATATGGGACAAGAACAAATTTAATGAAATTTACCTGGTAAATGAGATGTTTTTCTCTAAGTTTTATTCCACAAACTTCTACATAATATTCCTACCAGAAAACCCACCTGGGGGGCTGAGAAGCTGAAGAACTTCAGTGTGTTCCATAGCCTGTAGGAAGTCGCTCAATTCCGCTACCGTGCAACCTTTTTCACCCATTAGTTTTAGTAAACACAGGCTTGGGCTTCCTTCAGGCTCCAACACCTTAAGAGAACACTGCTCCAGGTCCAGACAACTGAAAATGACAAATTTATTCAAGTCAACAACCTCTTTTCAGAATGATACATCTACTAAATAGCTGAACCATTCCAGGTACTATAAGGAATTAATCACAAGTTGGTGTGTGCTGGAAACTATTTACATTATCAGTGCTAGTGTTCTTTCCTCCTCCTTCTTTAGAATTTCCTCCTCCTCTTTATTCCCTTCTCTCACTCAGTTCCCAGAGTTATTAAGGCAGGAGAGTTCAAGAGAAATCTTGAAGCAGGATGTGAGAGAAATTCAGCCTTGATAGTGATCGAAATTTTTGTCTTTCATTTGAAAATAAGAACTAGGAAGAACAGAAAAAAATTCTTTTTAACTTCTTCTTTGAAGATAATGAAGCACAAGATGATCCAAAATGAAGGTGCTAAAAGGTTAAATTCTGCTGTTTTCTGAAAGGAATATGCCTTCATTCCATTGGGGAACTACAATATCTGAAATCATGGCACATGAGCAAATACAAATAGTGCTAGTAGGGCTCTAGAGAAAAAGAGAAGCCAATGACTCAAAAATGTCACTAGATAAAACAATCAATGTTACAAAGTTAGCAATCGGAAAAGACTTGACACCCAAGTCAAGCCAAGGAACAAACATGGAAATAGCATAAGGACTACTAGGCTTTTTTTTTTTTTTAACTTACAACATAATGAATGAGTTTATATTTAATATAATACTTCTCAACATGGGATGTTACTCAATTAATACAAAGGTTGTTTTGCTTACACTGAATCTCTTCCAATGTCAATATAAAGGGTTCTTTTTAACTTTAAATCTTTTTCCATTTCAATATAATATATATTAAATACATTTTTCCAAACCTTTTTCCCCCTATAGATGTTTTAATTTTGGCTATTTGATATGTAAGTACAATATTAACTTGGTATATAAAGCAAATATATAATAAAAACATGGAGAAAAAGACTCCTTAAGGATTCAGGAGGCAGTGATAACTTGACAGTGGAGATCTGCCAGATTCTGGACAAGAGATTCTTCCTTCCTATTTCCTGTGCTTTGAGAATTGTGAAACTTTCAACTACTACTTACTTTATACCATCCCATGTCTTTGACACTTTTTCTAAGCAGCAAATACAATTTATAGGCTGCAGTTTTCAGTACATTATTTGTTATAAAGAAAATATTTTTTTCCATGTAACAAACATCTATTTGTTCTCATTTCATGGGAAACAACTAAGAATAAGAAACCATTATCGTTCACTGGGAAGTTTACAGACTAAAGCTCAGGTTTATCCTCAATAACACAAAAGTTTTCAGGGCAAAGTTTGATTCAGGAGGCCCTTAAAAGTTACATCTGTCCATTCTGCTTTCATGCATACACACCAAGGCAAGCACAAATGCCTGCAATGCTGAGAACCACATCTAACAAGGTAGCGATTGCGTCCCCGGTTTCTAGTGTTTCAACAACTAGCAGAACCAAAAGCAATGAAATGAGGACTAAGAACAATTGTGTTGAAACTGAGGTCATGATACTGGGATCTTGAAGGCTGAGAAATGGTACATATAAAAATTTATCTGGCTTGAAATATTCCCTTTTTGGAGCTCTGGATGCTGAGGCTAAGAGAGTACATGTGACACCGCTTCTGGGAAGCAGCCATTACAAGAATCAGGATTATTAAGTTTTTAAATAATTAGAATGAGATTTTTAAAAATAAGAATACTATATGCTAAATAAACTTGTTTTATGAGAAGTTTGCCAGGATCTAATACATGAAATTAAGACGTCATCTCATTAAATCTGATGCTTTAACTGTTTACATTGATATAGAAACACTTTGACTTTTCTTCCCAAAAAGACCAAATTTAAGTAATCAATTTCTCTTCTTATACAGAGGCAAAGAGAAAAGCAAGATTCTGAGTCTCCCTTCATTGTACTAATTTTCTGCATGGGTACTGGCTTTCAGCTAAGATGATGCATGAAATATACTCAAATTTTATCTTTCCTTCCTTATATTCCTGTAAGTGTGCTTCCTGAGCCCTAATTCAGAATTTTTGAATTACATTTAAAAACTGCTTTATTACTGAAACAAATGGGCTTTGCTTTTTATAAAATCAAATGGAACATATTATAATGGCATTTTGGGGGGGGGTATAAACCACAGAATTGCTTTTAGGTCCTTCTGCTTCTTCTCTTGGTACATTTACTCTCTGGAATCTTCATTTATTAATTCAATTTATCTATCTATCTATTTATGTAATTAGTTTTAATTTCTCAGCATCAAAATTATGCCGGACAACTTATTTATTAATCACCCAAAATAGGTAAATTTTTTCTAGGTATTGAGGATAGAGCAGCAAATAATATTTGCTACCCTCCTGAATTTTTTCACTTTAGAGGAGGATAGATAACACACAAACCCCCCTCTCTCTCTTTTTGGTACCGGGGATTGAACCTAGGGGCAACTGAACCACTGCGTCACATCTCCTATCCCCCCTGCCTTTTTTTTTGAGTTAGAGTCTTGCTAAGTTGCTTAGGGCCTTGTAAACTTGCTGAGACTGGTTTAGAACTCATGATCCTCCGGCCTCAACCTCCTGAGTTGCTGGGATTACAGGTGTGCACTGCCATGCCCGGCACATCTCCTGATATATATCCATCTATCCAATGTTTTGGAGAAAACTAAAACAAAGCAAGGGGACAAGAAATACTGGAACAGATGTATGGGGTAATTTCAAATCTTATAATCCGTAAAGTACTTATCCAGAGGATGGCTTTTAAGCAAACACTTGAAAAGTGGACAAGCAAATCATGTAGTTATTTGTGGAGACCACCTCATTCTGAATAAGCAGCAGGTACAAAGACACTACTATATTCAGGGGGTATGATTAAAGAGGTGGTGGTGGAGAGAGATTGATTAACTGTAGGATGTAAGGTTCAAGCGTTAACTAGTATCTAAATAGCATTTTTACACTGAGATAGAAAAGCAACTAGAGGGTTTTGAAGAGAGGATACACAAAATACGATTTAATGTTTTTAAAGAATCTTCTATGCTGAGGACAGACCAGAAATAGGTGCAAAGCAAAAGGAGGAAGAAGTTGAGTGGCTATTGGAATAATCCAGGTGAGAAATAATGGTAGCTTGGCCCAGTATGGTAGATGTGGAAATTGGATTCCAGATATATACTGAGGATTTGAAGATAAAAATAACATATCTAGAAGCAGAATCAGGAATGACTTGATTTTTTTTTTTTTTTTTTTGGCCCAGCAACTGGAAGGATAAAGTTGTCATTTATAGAGATGCAGAAAACTGAGAAAAAGGTTTGCGGGAGGGGACATGTTAAGTTTCAGACATGTTACATTTAAGATATCTAAAAGACAATCAAGAGGAGATGACAAATAGACATCTACACACACCCAGGGATTCAAAGCAGATATATTGGGAGTAATTAACTTAATGATATATAAAGTCATATGACTGAAGAATAACACCAGGAGACTAGGTTAACAAACAAAACAGAGAGATACAAAGCCTGAGCTCTAATGTACGATAAATTCAGAGACAGGAGATGGAGACGAGGGAATCTTTGGCTAGAACTTTTACGCATATTCTCATTCCTGTTATAAGCTGAGTGAAGGCAGGGTTTCTGTAGCTAAAGGAACACCTTTTACATGCATGTATGAAATGACTGATGGTTTTTCCTTGGTGCGTGTTCCACAGTCCCATTTTTTAGCCTCATAGCTTCTGACTGAGCAGAATTTAGGCATTTTAGAGCTCCCTCCCCGCAAATCTTTGCCCATCCCTGAAGCTTATAATTTACACTATGGGCAAGACACTCAGACTCTGTGCCTATATACAGCAGTGTCCAATATTAGATCAGTTTGGAATGGAACCATGGTTGGTTTTCATGTAGGTCATTCATGGTTGTGGCAAACTAAACCATAAGTAAGCAATCATGCTGAGTCATCAACAACCGTGTGAAAATATTTACAAGTATTCCTAATTATCCTGCTGGACAGCTCTGAATGGACTTTTCTTGTGGTTTATTGATTTATATTCTTAAGTAAATTCTTATCTAATTTGAGGAAAGATATAGAGTCAGGAAAAAAGTAAAGAGAGAAGAAACAACTTTCAAGATATTTGGGCCGTGAATCTAATTAACTCTGAGGAAAACTCTTCACATTCTTTTGTGACTCATTGTTCACTTGGATCAGACTCTCTCACTACAAGTCTTGTCTAACACTAGAGAAAAACACTTTTAGGACCTTCAGATGCTCTTCTCCCATCATGGTATGAAACCACTTTAACATAAGCTTTTTTTGGTCTTAAATAGACTGAGAATCACCAGCTATCCCAGACCCTTGCCTATCACTCTCCAGCCCCAAGTTTCCCCTGCTAACTTTTATAATGGCAGCTTAACTCTTCTGATCTCAATAGACACAACCTTAAACATCCCAAATTCTCCAACTCTCCCCACCTCAACTAACCTACATGGAACTAATCTTCATCATCCTGGAAGACTGGTGTAACTCACCTGTCTTGTCAGGCTTCCCACCCAGAATTCCCAGATTTCACAAATGCATGCCCTTCGGTGCTTGTCACCTCTTGCTAGGGGATGGCCCTCCTCTCTATATTACTCCACAGAAAAGTGGCCTCAAAGTTTTCACCAAATTCCCAAAGCTAACAGCATTTTGCAGCCTCTAGTGACTGAAGGCTTGGGAGGAAAATGCAACACCCAGGATCAGGTATCCACTCTTTGAGATCCCAGCAGCCACACGTTTTGCTGGCAAAGTCTTACTGACTTTCTTCCTTTATCACCAAGTGGTAGTACTCTCCAAGAAGCCCAGATTCTTTCCTAACTAGGTTCCTGATTAATGCCAGAACAACACGAGGATCTGCCTCCAAAGACAGTTTGGTTGTGTGTGTGTTGGCGGGGAGGGTACTGGGGATTGTACTCTCAGCTCTACCACTCAGCTACATCCTCAACCCATCCCCCCCTTTTTTGATTTTGTAAACTTTGAGACAGGTCTCACCAAGTTGCTGAGGCTGGTCTAGACTTGTGATCCTCCTGTCTTAGCCTCCAAAGTCACATGTAACACCACTCCCAAGATGACAATTTTTTACATTATGATGAATCTAGAAATTCAGAAATCTGAGGACTTAGACTAATAGTATTTTGCATTTTCTTTGTACAGCTAAAAGCCTAATGTGTTTTTCCTGGAATAGAAAAAACTTGCACCCTATATCTGCTTGACTTTCCTAGCTTACATTTCTTACCTCATTTCTGCATGGGAAATAATCCCAAATCATCATTAAGTTTTGCTTCGATCTTAACTTTGCAACTCAGGGTTGTTGGGAGGGTTAAAGTAGATAATACATGTAAACACTTAGTACATTGTTTGGTACTCTGTACTCAATAAAAAATAAACCGATTTTTAGTATTACATTCAACATGGCAATTAATGTTACTGTGAATGTCTCAAAATTCTAGTCTATTGCTAGATAAACCCTCATGAAGAGGAATAAAATATTTAACGTTTAATCTTCTGGAACTTTTAGCTAATAGCAGGCCTCAATAGTTTAAATGAATGACTCTCAATTCAACAAGCACTTATTGTCTAAGACAAGTTCTATGCATAACAGTATTAGGAGGTGACTTTGTATAAAGATATGTACAAATAATGGTAGAACAATATGAAGTTTGGTCACTTGAGAAGTTTATGGTCTCAGAAGCCCTGCTGCAGTTCCTGGACCCTTTCAGGAGGTTCACAGGTGAAAATGTTTTTTTCATAAGATTTTATCAAACTTTTTCATTCATTCTCCCAGGAGTGTACACCAAAGTTTCCACTGTTGTTATCTGCCAATTTCAACAGACTGAATACAAAGAAACATAAAGAATCCAGTTTTGTGATTGAATCAAGACGTTAGAGATTTTCAAAATGTAAATCAATGCTACTTTGCTAATTATGTTTTAAAAATTTTGGACAAGTTTGCTTTTCTGCAAAAAATGTTAACCATGTAATGGGTTCTTTTAAAATAAATTAACGTCTTGGAAATTTCTTGCTTTTACTTTCAAATGTGGTAAATGTCAATATATATAATTTATATGTAATACAATAACCTGCATAAAGGCTCTCTGGGTCATATATGTATATGCGTATATATATATATATATATATATATATATATATATATATAAATAATATTTTATACACACACACACACACACACACACACACGGGGGGGGGGAGGTGCTGGGATCCCAACCGAGGGCTTCATTCATTCTAGGATAATTCTTAAGAGTGTAAAGGAGTCCTGAGACCAAAAACTTCAAATATCATTAATAGCATGGACCCTTTCCTTATCAGGAAGTTTCACTTATCAAGTTTATGCTCATGACGAAGTCAAGAAGAAAACCTGGTAACTTGATTTGATGGAGGAAGATGGTGAGTTTAGATTCAATTTTTCCCTCTTTCCTTTTCTCTGCACAAAAATCTTCAGGAATCCCTGCACCCCAGTCCTTGGCTTCACTCCCTCTTCACCTGCACACCTGCCTCCTGACATTCCTTGGCCCCTCAAGGGCAGGGTCCACATAACTTTCTTCTGCATTTTAAGTTCTCTGGAATTACACTCGGAGAGAATTTCATTCTCTCAATATCTTCCCGGGTCAACCTCGACTTGTGGCTTTCAGCTCCAGGGTCAGAGGGCAGGAAGAGGGTGCAGCGCCGCTGGGCCACTTCGGCCTCTCCCCCTCCGCGCCGGGATCCCACCCCGCACTCCTCGCATTCCCAGGACTTTGCGGTTCGGGCTCTCGGAGACTCTGGGGAGGCTCTCGGTAGCCGTCCCCACCTGCGCTCTCTCCTCACCCCGGCGACGCGCTCCAGCCCTCCGCCCCAGCCCACACGCCCGCCCGGGCTCACCTGAGCCGGAGGCGCCCCCGACTGCCGGCCAGCTCGGCCAGCCGCCTCCAGCCCCGGCCCTCGGGCGCGCGGTCCAAGGTCTCGCCGAGCCTCCGCAGCAGCGGCTCCCCAAGGCGGAGGAGGGTCGCGCCTGCCAGGGAGGCTAGCGACTGCCCCGAGGGCGCGCCCGGAGGCGGCTGCAGGGCCGGGGACGGCGAGGCCTGCAGCGGCTCCCCCCTCAGCGACATGGCCCGCGCGGGCCGCGGCTCCGGCGCCCTTCCGCCCCTCGGCTCGCCTCCGAGTCCTGAGACAGCGGCGGAAGGAGAATTCGGGCAGCGCAGCGCAGCCCTCGCAGGAGGAAGCTCTGCTCCCCGCCCCGCGAGACAGGTTCTCCCGGGCACCCGCCCGGCGGGCCGAGGGCGGGGCCTCCGCTGCGCGCGTGCGTGCGACCGCGCCTCCCCGCCCTCCCCCACAGCCTCCGGGCCCGCGCGGCGCCCGCGGCGAACCCGTGGAGCGCGACGGCGCGGGTGGCTGCTGCTGCAGGAGGAAGCTGTGTAGGAACTGCGCCTCGGCCGCTCCTCCTCGGCGAGGAAGCCTGCGCCCTCGGGGCTTCCCGAGGCCGTGGGAGGAGGCTTGCCTCATGCCGGGGAGGGGAGCACTCGACTCCCGGTCTCCGGCCCCCACGCGCTTGTTCCCGAGCCGCGCTCGCCAGACTTGAGGACTTGCGTGTGTTAGGCTACGCCACCAGCTGCCGCGTTGGGCAACCTCAGTGGACGCTTCCTTTTTTGGGGGGTTAGATGTGTATGGCGTTGCCAAAGGGAAGCAGTAGTGCTGGAGCTTCCTATACTTGACAGGAATCGCCCGAAACGTCCGCCTTGACTTTAATTTTAAAAACTGAAGGGTCGGGCATAGTGGCGTACGTCAGTGTTAGGGCACCTGCCGAACGTGCACAAGGGCCCGCTTCCATCCGTCGTCGCACTGCAAACAAAACAAACTGAGCTGTGGTGTATTTGGCTAATACAGATCTTGGAAATTGTTTTCTCTGGGTCAGACTGCCACCCACATTCGTAATCAGAGTAGGTAACCTTACAGAAGATGCCTTTCTCTGGACTGATCCACAATAGATAAACTGATAGACAACTATACTGGAGCTTTCTTAGCTATATTCAAGGCCACAATCACATTGGAAAGTGTAGGCTAGTTTGGGACAAAAGCAAGCAATTTTATGAAATCTGTCCAGCCAGGTAGCCTGAGATACAAGGCTGAGATTCTGGCCCAGCTTCTGGGTCCATTAACTTTTTCATCAGACCAGACAGCAGGATTTTCTGCAGCAATAATTTGTACGCCCAGATTTTCATACCTGTTAGTGAGGTACTGCTCCATACAGGCTCCCCCACATTCCAGCATAATCAGTCATTAAACCTTTTCACTCCTGTAAGAGTTCAGACTTCAGAATGCAGTATAATGGTAAAGAGCATGACTTTTGGATCCAGATATATCTCCTGGGTGCAGGTTTTTATGACTTTGAATAGGTTACTTAACTTCTGTGCCTCCTCTGTAAAATGGGACTGAAATATAGTTTATGTAGGTTTCTGCTAGTGAAAGAATTTGATGTATATAAAGCACTTAGCTCAGTGCCCGGCACATGGTACACAATAAATGTAAACTCCTACTCTTAACAATACAAATGCTGTTTCACGTTCTGTTTGACTTGGCAAGTCTCTTCCAATCACTTTTAGTGCTTTCCTGTTTTGTCCTCCATCACTGGACAAATATTTTCTCAGAGTCATTACCTTCATATGCCAGTTGGGGAAGTTAAGTCTTCTAGTCTTTATTAGAATCCTACCTTTGAATTTAAATTCAGTAGACTTCTTTTCTAAACCTACCTTGTGCAGGGTGTTACTTAAGCAGCTCTTCATATGTGAGTATGGACTAAAATGGGTAGCTGTGTTATATTTATTTACCCTCTAAGTATCCTTGTCAATCTGATCCAGTGTTCTTTACTCAATACAGCTCAAGGGGGCACTACATTGACTCTCCTTCCCATTCCCCTACTTCCTAAGTGAGGGCATCCTTCATTTCACCCTGTTCCCAACCCTGTTTTCTACCTAGCCATCTTATAGCCTATCCAGTCACCCTACTTATCACCCTCCATCCTGTACTCTGGATTGACATTACATTTTTATGACTGGTCTTTTTCTTTTTCTTTTTTGTACCAGGGATTGAGCCCAGGATGCTTAACCACTATGCCACATCTCCAGCCCTTTTTATAATTTATTTATTTGGTACCAGGGATTGAACTCAGGGGCACTTGACCTGTGAGCCACATCCCCAGCCCTATTCTGTATTTTATTTAGAGTCAGGGTCTCATTGAGTTTCTTAGAGCCTCGCTTTTTGCTGAGGCTGGCTTTGAACTCACAATCCTCCTGCCTCAGCCTTCTGAGCCGCTGGGATTACAACTATGTGCCACCACACCCGGCTTTATATTTTATTTTGAGACAGAGTCTCACCAAGTTGCTCAGGACCTTGATAGATTGCTGAGGCTGGCTTTGAACTCACAATTCTGCCTCAGCCTCCTGAGTGGAGGATTAAAGGCGTTCACCACCATGCCTGGCTGCTTACTGGTCTTTTTCTGCTCTCAATCAAATGTTAATATTTCTGCTACATAATTTTCATTTATGTTCTGGCGCATAATGGTATAGTAGGAAATACATGATCTTCAATTCAAATCTTGATACTGCCACTTATCAGTGGTGTGACCTTAGATGGTTACTTAAACTCTCTAAGCTTAAAGTTTTATGTCTGTAAAAAGCAGAAGATAATAGTACCCCAGCATATCGTGTTGGGGAAAAGCAGGGCAGTATATATAGCCACACTTTGCTTCTGGTTGGGGATATGTTCTGAGAAATGCATTATTAGGTGATTTCATCATTATGTGAGCATCAGAGTGTTCTGGATGGGCTGGATGTGACATGACTGGGCAATATGATCTTATGGGACCACATTGGGATATGGTATATTGACTAACATTTTGTTATGTGGCATATGCCTACATCAGTACTCTAAAAATTGCACATTAATTCTGGAAACAATATAATCAGTAATTCAGCTTCCTTTTCCTGTCAATTATGTATATATAAAGACAGGAGAAAAGTTGAGAGTATGGATCTGATTTTTAAGTGTCCCTTAGAAGTTCATGCATATAGATAATATCCTTGGGAGTTCTTTTTCATTTAGTTGAAAGTGATACAGATCTTTATAAATCCAGACAATTTGCAGGAAACTCATGGTTTCATTCTGTGGAACTTTACTGATGTAATCTTCAAAACACTCAACAGATGTGGAAGTTGACTCATAGCTTTTTTTCCCTTTATACAATATGACTGTAGATGGTCTCCAACTAAAAATGGCAGAATGATATATAGTATAGAATACCTGTGGGTCCTTGGATCTGTTTACAACTGAGAAAAGGAAACAGGAGTTATGTGATTAAATAGTGTTCACTGTCTCCCATCTCTTATGCCATGCCTGGAACCCTTGGTGACCTCTCTGACTCAGCTCCTGTATTGGGGCCACTTGGGCAGCCTTCAGACAAGACTTGCCTTGCCATATCCCCTGTAGCCTGTTCTTGCTAACATTTCTGAAAGGATTAGGGGAATTTCCTCAACTCAATTTCAACTTTGGAATAGAGGCCAAGAGTCACACTAGTATTCCACACCCTACTTTCAGGATGAATCATCCAGACCTAAATAATTGATGTTGACCATGGCAAAGACTATATTTACTTGTCTAACTGTATTATTTTATTAAATTATTAACAGATATGTACTGCGTGTGCCTACTTTGTGGCAGGCTGAAGGCCAAATGATGTTAAAGGATGGTTTTGAAAAAGAAAGTTAAAATCATGATTCCCAAGAAGTACACAATGAACACGTGTTAGAGGCTTTAATTCATTGAGTTACAACCACTTCAGAGGAGAACCCAAAGATTTATTAAATATGTAATTTTGTCAAAAATGCCAAAGTATGTTTGATTCATAGATACAAAACTGGCTTCTTTCTCATCAGGGGAGGGAGAGCAATTGGACTGCCACTTTACAATTATTTATAAACAAGAATGATATGTACTACTAACAGTTTTCTACAAGTCAGCTTCTATTTCACTGAGTTGTAAAACAGCCTAGTCAAACACAACGCAAGGGAAAGATCAGCAGGTCTTCTGACCAAATGAGCTGGTCAAGATGCCCAGTATATTTCAGCCTTCTAGAAGTGTTTTGTTTGAGTACAATATTGACAAAATCCAAGGACAGGGAGTGGAGAGTACTCTGCTGATGGCAAAGGAAGTGTAAAAATGCTGAGGAGGGTCCTTCCATCCACATGAGTAGATGAGAAGAAATGCGTGGAGAGAAGGACCGGAAAGAAGAGCTATGTAATGATCACAAAACATCATGGCAAGTTGGTGACCTGCAGTTGGTTCAGGAGAGCTGGCAACACACATGAGAAAAGGGCAAGGACCAAAACCAAGAAGGCAGTGAAGATCCGATTGGGTCAGGCCAAAGGACCAGGTTTTTACCTTATAGGTCTGTGCCTTCCAGAGGATCATTTGTGCCTCTTTGGTGATACAATATACTTTGGAATAGCACATGGATGTTTTTGTCTTCATAGTTATACACTTATTTAATACAGAAAAGAAAAAAAATCTGCCAAAGTTGCCATTTCTCTGATAGTATTGATTAGGATGAGGCCAACTTTAAGTTAAAATGTGATTTCATTTAAAGGAAAAGGAATCTATTAAATTTCCAAGACTACAGGTGAAACGTGAATATGTCAAAACTTAGAAAGCAGGTAAATGTTTAAAGTTTGAGAAATTCTGCTTTAAGTAAGTGATGGGGAGTAATGGAAAATTTTTAAAACTCACTTTGGCAGCATTGTAGGGAGGGACAAGACTGGAGATTCAAGAAGTATTACAATATAGTATAGATGAGAAATAATGGCCTCTGCCAACAGTCTTGATTCTGGGCATGAAAAGAGGGGACAGAGTGAAGAAATGTTGGGGGTTACTTTTTGCCAGTCCAGGGTAGTGTTAGGCTGCATGAATCACTATGCTTTAAAGAATGTTTAGTTTAAACTTTCATAGCTTGTTTTAGCCAGCAGGAAATGAAACAAAACATTTCTAGTGTGTGGAATGTTGTAAAAGTACAATAGAGAGGGCAAAGGTATTAGAAGGTCCTGTCCTGTTGTTTTCCATTTTATTTATTAACTTCCTTTTTTCCCATGCTGGAGATTGAATCTAGGGCCTCACACATGTTAGGCAGGTTCTCTACCACAGTGCTACACTCCAGCCCTAGCCCTGTTGTTGAATGAAGAAACTGGAAAGGTAGA